CCCCCCCCCCCCCCCCGGTCTGAATAGCTGAGACACATGTAGAATTTCTCACTTCCCTCCTCTGAATGACGGAGGGACTATTTCCAGATGAAAACAGGATGTGTTTGGTTACAGAACAAAGGTTTTCTAGAATCCGTGGGCCTCCCCCCAGGAGGCCCCTCTCTCGATTTCCTCACTTCGGGCTAATACCGCACAGGTGCGAAGCGTGGAGCCCCAGGACCCCCGGGACTGTGTCTCCTTTCTCCCCAAACCGGAAGTCCATGCAGACATGCTCAGAGTGCAGGGCAACAGGCTTTCTCTGGGGCAGGGTGGGGCCCTCTCAAGCTCGCATGTAGAAGGCCCAGGCGTCAGTGACTCGGGCCGTCTGAGAGAGGAGTCTCCAAACGGCCAGCTTCAGGCTGCTCGCGCTTTGCTTTCAGTGCAGGAAACTCTCTCAGTGTCCGCACTGCCCTCAGTGACGCGTGAGGCCGGGCTCGCTCAGGCTGCAGGACGCCTGTGGGTAAAGGAAATTAGTTTGTTCTCACTTTTACAATTAACTGATGGATGTGCTGGTGATCTGTCGCTCACTGCTTTTCTGCTGCTAAATAGAGCTTTTTTGGCTGTTTCTTCCAGCGCCTCTCAGACTAAGACTTTTACGTTCATAGAGAGCAGGTGCGTTCGTGTTTACCCCCTCAAAGTTACTCTTCGGTCTAGAGCAAGAAAACCAAATGCAAACTCTTGATTTGGGGAGAGCAGACCTTGCCCGGAATTCGGGTTTGTGGCTGGACGCACAGTGTGGCCCACAGACGCACCAGCAGCACCTGGGGACTTAGAAATGCAGACTCTCGCCGCCCCCCCCCCCCCCCACTTAATGAAGCTTGGCGTTTTCACAAGATCCCCAAGTGACCCCTGTGCACGTTAAGCGGGAGCTGGAGAATTAAACCATTTGTTCTTTGACCCTCCTTTACAGAATCACCCGATGAGGTCAAGTCCTGTACGATCACGAGGACAAAAACAGTTCCACTCGAGGTCATATGACGTGTACAAAACGGGCGGTCTTCTCCCAGTCTAATTCCTTTAAAACTTGCTTTGTAGCCTAGAGCCACCGCGAGGCCCCTTCCGGGTTTCTGGTTTTAGCCTGTGCCGGCGGGGTCGGCGGGAGGGTGGCCCGGCCCTGCTCAGGCGCTACAGAGCGAGAGAGCTGTGTGACTGCCGCGACGCCCATCAGTGGGCGCTCGCCTCCCCCGAGAGAACTAGCAAGGGGAGTTGGTTTAATCGTCTAGACACACTCCTAGTCTCTCAGTCATGACAGCCACCGGAGACACTCCGAGGTGAGCAACGGAAAACGGGACTTGCGATGTGGGCACCACAAATGGATATGTACCCAGAAACAGTCGTGTTCTAAATTAATGGCTTTAACCTGTTCATTGTAAAAAGTGCCTTGGACTTCGATCTCAAGAGGTCAGTATAAATATGTGTGTGTGTGACGTATGTAGGCAAATATTTACATATTTATACACACATAGGTGCACACAGGCACCTGCACATTCACACACAATATACATAGACACGCATAAGCGCTTCACAATATGTTGTATTGCTATTTGCAGCCCCATTTATCCTGTCTGGTCCTACGTTATTTGTTTAGTGACACCTTTACATAGAGAGGTTCTATTCAGGACATTGATGTATTTTTTTTGTTTTTTACTTTTTATTAAAAAGGTAAAGGATATTAAAAAAAAAAAAAAAGTCAAGCGCCTGAAGATGTTGAATGGAACCGTGGTCAATTTTCTCAGGTCACCGAAGAGGAAAGCCATGTCTCCCTTGGAAAATATTTTTCTGTTCTGGTGACTTTTGTTTTCCGTCGGTGGGAGCGCGTAAACGCCGGCGGTTACAGAGATTCGGTAGTTTTGCGACGGTTCACTCTGTGGTCTCTGAAGCTAGTGCTCCCTTTTCTTCACACGTCGGCGTCGGAAGGGGTCCACGCGTGCCGTGCCCGGCTCGGGCGTCGGGCAGACGAAGCTGCAGGGGACGGGGTTTAGGTCAGTTCCGAACACCGCGTCCTTTCAGGGCCACACAGGGTCACAAGTGGGGAGTCCCGTCCCGAGCGAGGCGGGAACCCGTCCCAGAAGGCCCGGCAGAGGGGCCCCAGGGAACTTTCTAGGATCCCGTGCCCTGCCTTTCTACAACAAAACAGCCACCCGGATCGATCAGCTTCTCTACCTTAGGCACAGGTCCTGTCTTTCCACAGGGTGGCAGCTTGTGAGGGGCCGGCCTCCCTGGTTAGGAGCCCCCAGGGAGCCCGGGGAGGGTCACCGGGTTTCCATGAGCTCACGTGCTCAGGCAGGCACTTGACTTCTTGAAAAAAGCCAATCTCTCCAGCTCCCCGCCCAGGTGGTGAAAGCTCATGACAGCCCCGGCTGCCCCAGAGAGGTGATGGGCCACCCACAGTACCTGTCAGAAGAGATGTCACGATGGCAGAGGGGGCCAGAAAGAAACAGGGCTCTGCAGCTGTCCCCGCAGCTGTCCCCTCAGCTGTCCCCACAGATGCCCCTCAGCTGTCCCCTCAGCTGTCCCGCAGCTGCAATCACATTTGTGGACTCATAACTAAGAAGTCTTGGTGGCCAGCGTCTGGAAAATCAGTCCCTGAACTGAAAGCGCCAGACCCTCACTTTCCTCCCCAGGGATTTTTTTGTAGCTCTAGACAAAAATTAGAAGAACAGAATTTAGGCGCTTCCAGAAATAGTAGCGGTGCGCCCAGGGGGTCAGCCAGTTGAGCGCAGACTCTCGATTTGGGCTCAGGTCATGATCTCGCAGTTACGGGATTGAGCCCCACGTCGGACTCCGTGCTGCCGGCTCAGGGCCTGCTTGGGATTCTCTGTCGCTCTCCCTCTGCCCTCCTCCCCGCACGTGCTCTCCCTCTCTCAAATAAATAAATTAAAAACAAAAAACGAGATTGCTAAGAAAGAAAAAAATCATACCTAATACTTGGGACTTTTTCGAAGTTAGCAGACATAAATCAGATCTTCGAATATGTATCCAGCCATATTTCTGCTGCTGTCCCTTCCTTAAAGCTTTCTTCCAAAACTCCCTCACGAGTGAATCCATCACAACTCAGGGATTATAACCGGTGACTCCTCTAGGCCCAGGACCTCGAGTGTCAGTAAGGCACCTCCCTCCCCCAAGGGAACGGCTATCGCTGCCAGTGTTGCACTGGGACCGGAGCTGGAGAAAAGCAGCGCGAGTGGCTGCTGTAAGGCGGGGGTCCCCCAAACTCGGCCCCGAGTTCTCAGCGCATCGGGAGTGAGCAGGAACCTGGAGGCTTGGGGTCCGGGCTGGGTGGCCCGAGGGTGGCACGCAGAGACCAGGCCGGCGGCCCCTGAAGCTGAGCGGCCAGGCGGGGGGCTCCGAGGCCGGGGTGGGGAGGCTCGGAGGCTGGGTGGGGGGCTCACCACGGAGGCAGGGCTGAGCCTGTGGCCTTTGCCACCTCCTGTCAAACTGAGGCCCGAGAAAAAGGGCATCAACAGGGGAGCGGGCTCCAACCCAACACCCAACGTGCAGGCCGCCAAGTTCCTCTCATTGTCTCTGCTTCCTTCCCTTGGACCACACTTGCGAAAACAGGACTTTTTAAAGGAGGAAATCTTAATTTAGGTTGGGAGCAGAGGCCCCTGGAGAAGCCTGCCTGTTTTAGGCCCGGATCTTGCTGGTGCTGATGGAGGAGCCAGACTCAGGGCACCAGGGGCCAGCGTGCAGACACGCGGTCCCAAGCAGCCTGGAGCGGGGAGGGGAGTGTGCCCACGGGCGCGAGGACACGCGTGTGCAGCCCGCAAGCCTGGGTGTCGCACAGGGGCCCGCGGGCTACACCCCACTCACTCCACCGGCGTGAGCAGAGGTTGTCAGCCCTCGCTCGCCGGGAATCTTTGGGAGGCAGCAAGCTCAGCGCCCCCAAGCCCTGCTGCTCCAGAACGCGAGACTCTGGAGCCCCCCAGGCGGTTCTACCAGGTGCCCAGAGTTGAGCACCTATCCGGAGCCTGGTGAGGTGACCAGCACCCGCCCGGCCGGTGCTCCCCGGGCCCTGCGCCGCCCCCACACAGTTGGCGAGGAGCGTGGGCGTGGCAGCTGGACGAGGGCCGGGGCTCCCCCCGCCGCTCCGGTCCCTGTCGGCCTGCCTGGCTCCTGTCCCTTCTGCCCACGAAGCTCTCGGGGCGGCCAGGAGTGGTCCGGGCCCGGCCGCCACGCCCTCTCTCTCCTCCAGGCAGGTGCTCCTTCCGGGCCACGCTGCGCAAGGACCCGGGCGGGTCCAGCCGCGTCTTCCTTACCGGACACGGTCACGAGGAGCAGTAACGTGTCCTCTCTAGCCGGTGACGCGGTAAACCCAACACAAGGCAGGTAGCCCGCCAAGTGACACTGACCCCCTCCCAACTACCTCTCGCCCTTAGATAAAACGCTGTCCTCTGTCTTAAGGAAGGTGGATGCGCAGCTGTGAAAGCTGGAAGCCGAAAGTGGGCCCGGTTCTCGGATCCCGACACTTCGGCGGACTTCCGGGCCCTCGAGGGACAGCGCCCCCTGCCGGCCATCCGGGAGCACAGCGATCTGGGGCACAGGGGACCCCGACGCCTCTGGGAGAAAGCTCCTCGGGGCACGTCACACCCGCACCTCGCGGCCCAGAGAAGTGACCTGCCCCAAGGCAAACCTTAGCGCAGGGACCGGCGCGTCGCGGGCACGTCGCGGGCGCCTTCCGTGCCGGTGCGGAAAGCCAGGCCTGCCCGGCGCCTCTCCACCGTCCGGCCTTCACCCCGGAGCCCCCATCCATCTCGCAAATGCCACGTGAACCCAGGGGGCCCTGCTCCCCCCCAGCACGTGTTCACACCACACGGGACGCCCAGCGCCCGCATTACCGACCCCCTGCAAACAAGGGTATCCGTATCCCAGGGGCAACGATCACTTTCAAATTCATCTGCCTTTCGTGTAAAGAATTTAGAGCTAACGCTTGCAAATCTCCAAGGGCCCCCACTGGTTAGGAGACATTAAATGAGATGATTAAAATAATGCGATTCTATGCCCAGCATTACGGTGGATTACGCTCACGGTGGTCCAGGCCACTGAGCCTTGTTTCAGTCACTGCTGCACAGAGTCCACGAAGATCGGCCAGGGCTAGCTTAATCTCCTTTCGGTAGCATGAATTTGAAATTTACACTTCATTTTTCCCAGGGATGAGTCACACCCAATAGCCTCTCTGGAAGTGCTGTCCTGTTCCCTGGAAAACGGAAGTGGGAGACGAGGACACGGCGGTGCCTCTGCCTACGGGCAGTGTCCTCTCGGAGAGGCTTCTTTCCAAACCTGTCCCGCCTCCGACTCTCCAACACTGGGTATCGCTTGGCAACAATCAGGTGTTCCTCGCGAGAGAACGTGAACGGCAGGGGCACCCACGCGCCGTCACTCATCGGGGGAAATACCAGGACTTCTGTCCTTTCCTCAAACACCCTCCCCACCTTCTACCTCCTGACCTCTTGGAAGGAGAAGGTGGATACATAATTCTGCGGAGTTTCAGAATTCAGAAGTCCTAAACGTAGTTCTACTTCGGATGTCTTAGGGAATTTTTTCTGAGAATGGCAATGCACCGTTTACTTGACTCTCAAATTTGGGACCACAGGACCCTATTCGGTTCGGGTTCGGGTCCAGTGAGCAAATAGCCCTCTGGCGTTGTCTGAACATCAGGAAGGGGTGCTGACAGCCTCAGGCCTCTCTCCAGGAGCACGGTGAGGGACATGCTCGTTTATTGCCTCTGGTGGGAGTGGAGCACCCACTCCCCCGGTGCTCCAGCCAATAGCCACGGGTTTGGATGTGAACTCACCCCTCCCCCACCTCCACTGTGCATTTGGGCGGGATGAGTCCTACTTCCAGACATGGTGGGCTTGGGCAGGCTCCAGCCAACTATCTTACCTCACCGCCCTCGTTCAGGGATGGGCAGCTGGCTCAAATCAGGCCAACGTGGGCAAATGGGTCCCAGAGCCAGGCTTCCAGAGAAGACGGTCTTCCCCAGGAACTGATAGAACCATTTGTGTCACGAGGGGGGAGGTGGGGTCGGGGGCCAATGTGTGGGGCATGAAGGTGAGCTAAAACCACACAGAAAGCAGAGGTGGAGAGCAACGGGGACCTTGGTGACATCCTCGGAGCCACCGACTGAATCTTCCAGTCACCTGAGCCAGTAACTTTGCTTTATAGCAAAGCCATTTAGAGGTGGATTTTTGGCCACATCCAACATAAAGAGTCCTGGTGGAGAAGAACCAAACTTCTGTGCACTTGTCTGATTTCCCAGAGGAGTAACCAGAATGAGAATCAAAGGAAAACATGGGCACCTGGTGGTTCAGTCGGTTGAGCGTCCCACTCAGCTCGGATCACGATCTCAGAGTCATGGGATTGAGCCCCACATCAGGCTCTGCGCTCAGCATGGAGCCTGCCTTAATTCTCTCTCTCCCTCTGCCCCTCTGCCCCCTCCCCCACTCATGCACTCTCTCTCTCTCTCTCTCTAGAAGAAAGAAAGAAAGTAGGAAAGAAAGAGGAATAAAAGTTTAAAACACAAAAATCAAATCAGACAACAAGGAAAGTGAGGGGGTCAGAATGGACTCTGGGGTGCACCTCTTCCGGCAAGGTGGAAGGGGTGGAGGAGGGGGAGCCACGGAGGAGCGTGTTAAATGAAGCAGCCGGGTTCTACGAGAAGAGACCAAAGCAGGCAACAACCCGTCACATCATGCCATGTCATATGATGTCATGGAGTGTGATATCACGTCATGCCATGCCCTGTCATTTTGTGTCCTGTGTCCTGCCGGGTCACATCACATCATGTCGTCCGTGTCGTGTCGTGTCACTCCATATCACGTCGTGTCGTGCGTCACGTTATAACCGCAGTGATGAGCGCAGTAAGGGTCATCTTGGTATTATTTGAAAGGAAGGTAAATATTGGTAACTTTTGGATTTGATAAGAAAAATAACAAAGTAAGAGAAATAGAAATAGAGGGGCACCTGGGTGACTCCGTCGGTTATGCATCCGACTTCAGCTCAGGTCGTGATCTCGTGGTTGGTGATCTCTGGGCTCTCTGCTATCAGCGAGAACCTGTCTCCCTCTCTCTGACCCTTCCCTGCTCTCTCTCTCTCTCTCTCTCTTTCTCTCAAAAATAAATAAACATTAAAAAAAAAGAAATAGAGGGGCGCCTGGGTGGCGCAGTCGGTTGAGCGTCCGACTTCAGCCAGGTCACGATCTCGCGGTCCGGGAGTTCGAGCCCCGCGTCGGGCTCTGGGCTGGTGGCTCAGAGCCTGGAGCCTGCTTCCGATTCTGTGTCTCCCTCTCTCTCTGCCCCTCGCCCGTTCATGCTCTGTCTCTCTCTGTCCCAAAAATAAATAAACATTAAAAAAAATTTATAAAAAAAAAAGAAATAGAAATAGAGTTTATATTGAAATAAAGTTCAGGGTGCCTGACTGGTTCAGCCAGAAAAGCATGCGACTCTTGACCTCGGGGTTGTGAGTCAAGCCTCAGGCTGGGTGTAGGTTTAGCTCCCAAATATGATTGCTTAATATTGGAAAAATAATAAAATCCACCATATTAACACATCAAGAGAGAAAAATCATTTAGTAATCATAGGTTTTTAAAGATGAATCAAGTTCAATATTGGTTAATTAAAAAAACACTGAGCAAACTGGGCACCCAGCATGTGGTACAATCACCCAGTGGCTCACACTCTAGAATAACCCCTCCTGTTGAGTGTGGGCAGGAATATGGCAAAGGTGAGGGGCTGTCAATCCTGTGATTAGAAGGACTCCACCTTAGCAGACACAAGAGATTCATGTAAGCAGACATGCCGTGAGCCGCCCACGGAGAAGGTTGCGTGGCAGGAAGCCACAGGGCCGCCCACGGCCGGTAGGAAGCTAGGGCCCTCAGCCAGACAGCTGCGGCGGGGGGGGATGAATTCTGTCGACCACCTCATTGGGCTTGGGGAAAAGACTCGTCGAGGCTCCAGGTGGGACGGGAGCCTGGCCAGTACACTGGTTGCATTCCCGTAGGGCTCGGAGCAAACCCCACGGCTAGGCTGACCCATGCAAACGGAGCTAACAGAGGTGTGTTGGGCACCACGGACATATGGTAACTTGTTACGCAGCAGCAGAAAATTAATACAAAAGACAGCTTTCTTAACCCAATGAATGATATCTACAAAAGGTTATCTTCCTACAACACACATCATACGTCATGACACCATGAAATCAAGACACCTGCTCTTGCCACTTCTGCAGGAGGGCCCCGGCATTGCAATATGGCTAGAACAATCATGGGAAAGGATCAGAAAGGAAGAAAATCATCTGTCTACCCAAAAGCGTGTAGAGAAAAATCATTAGAATTAACAATAATAATATATTATTATTATATTATATAATACCACAATAAAATAATGTTTATAATATTTCTATAAACAGAGTTCGCATAGTTGCTAGATACGAATTCAACAGATAAAAATTAATTACATTTCTATACCCTATTAATAAGAAACTAGGAAGTGAAACCAAAAATCTAAAAATGGAACCAAAAATCTTAAAAATGTAGCAACAAACTAACAAAAGACGTACTGGAGTTTCACAGGGAAAATTATGGAACATTATTAAAGGACAATAGAGAAAGCTGGAAGAAACAGGAAAATATCCGTGTTCAGATTTGTATAGATGCTTACTTTCCCCAAAATTAATCTACAAATTTAACGTAATGCCAGTCGAAATCCATGACACGTGTGAACCCTGACAGGCCGATTGTAAAACTGATACAAAAAAAAAAAAAAAAAAAAAAAAAGCCCGACATTTCTGAAGGAGAACAAGGTAGGAGGACTCACCGTGCATCAGGAAGGCTCCTCAGAAAGCTCTAGTAATCGAGGAGATGTGGTCTCTGAACAGGGGAAGGTTCACAGACCGAGCAGTGGAAAACAGTAGAGAGCTGACAGACTCGTCCATTTACGGAAACTTGATTTATTCGAGGACGGGCCTTGCAAATCAGTTGGGGGAGAAATGGACTTTTCAGTCAACGGCACTGAAACAATGATTATTTACATCTCTACACAAACATTAATTCTGGTTGGGTTAAAAACACAAACGTAAAGAAAACCTGTGACACTTTCGGAAGACAATGGAAATCTTTTCTGACGCAAAACTCCAAGAGCTCAGGCCACAGGGGGATAATGGACAAATCTGAATATCGCAAGATTAAAACCTTCTGTTCCCTTGCTGTTAAGTGAGAGGGTGAACCACAGACTGGGAGATGTTTACAACTTGTACAACTTACAAAATCCAGGAAGCCAATCTGGGAAAAACAGGCACAAGAAGGAACAGGAATTTCACCGAGAAGGAATCACAAATGGCCAGAAACATGGCAGGATGGTCCACTTCACTAGCGATCGAGGAGATGCCACCGGAAATGACGACCTGCTATTTCGCAGCCACGAGAGGGACAGAGAAGATCTGAAAATCAGAGAACGCCCAGCGTTAGGAGTACAGCCAGGGGCGCCTGGGTGGCACAGTCGGTTAAGCGTCCGACTTCAGCCAGGTCACGATCTCGGGGTCCGTGAGTTCGAGCCCCGCGTCGGGCTCTGGGCTGATGGCTCAGAGCCTGGAGCTGGCTTCCGATTCTGTGTCTCCCTCTCTCTCTGCCCCTCCCCCGTTCATGCTCTGTCTCTCTCTGTCCCAAAAATAAATAAACGTTGAAAAAAAAATTTTTTTTTAAATAAAAAAAAAAGGAGTACGGCCAGTGGGGATGCAACGGGCACAGCTACTCGGGACCCGATCTGGCATTAGTGAAGCTGAGTGTGTGCATATCCAGTGACCTAGTATTATTTGTAAAGCAAACAAGTCAAACGCCGGAAGTGACCCAAACGAGACCAGAAGCAGATCGATGGTGCGCAGTAGCACATGGAGTGCTAGGCGGCGACTTAGGGCCTTCTTGCCACCATCCACAGGGTGAGGCCCGGCCCGGAGACCGGTGTCCCCTCCCCCCCCATCATGCCTCCGTACCCCGTGCTGGGGAAATACCCTTTCTTCCTCCCTTTTCTTCCGAACCGAAGCCAGTGAAGTAATAGCCACTTCACGGCGCATTCAATTTTCAGCAATCTCCTCTCTTCTCCACCGAAAGTGCTCTGATGCTTCTGGCTAAATTAATTGTAAATTGCTCTCTTCCTTTTCCCTCAATATGCCACAATTCTTGGAATCAAAGACAGGCTTCCAAATAAAGACCATCTACAGATCAGATGCCGTCGCGCCCACAGGACAGCTCCTCACGTGCTCTCCGGGATGAAGTCCACGTGCTTCCCCGTGATTCCTAATTCTGTCCCAGGGGGACCCCAGCCCACTTGCCAGCCTCCCCACATCCTGCCCCCCTTTCCTCATCCCTCCGCCTCTGCGGCTATCTGGCTCACACAGACACACACACACACACACACACACACACACACACACAACTGGGGCCACAGTCTCACGTACTTGTAGTCCCGGGGGTTTGCATGTTCCCTCTGCCTGGAGAGCCCTTACCTATATTCTGCCAAGAAAATTCTGCCGCATCCCTCAAGACCCACTTGTGCCAAGCCCTCCGCATCGCCCTCCCTCTGCTGATAACCATCGTTTACTTCAACGCCCACCGGTTCTCGGCACGTCGGGATCCCCCGGGGAGCTCCCCCAAACTACACGTTCCCGGACCTCATCCCAGACCTACCGAGTCAGAATCTGCTAGGGTGACAGCAAAGCGCTCACCATTTCCAAAGCCCCACAGAGGATCCTGATGCGCGGCCAGGGCTGAGAAGCCGTGGGGGGCAGCCCCAGAGACCACGGGCGCCGGAGCCAAATACGCGGTTTGAAGCCGGGCTGTGCCACAGACCGGCTGGCTGACCCGGTGCGGGTGGCTCGGCGCCTCTGGGCCTCTAGAAAACCGGCACCTGCCTCGTAGGGTTGTCGTGAGTCAGCGGGGCAAATGTGCCCGGCACAGAGCAAGTGCTCAGTGACGTTAACCACTGTCGTGTCTCCCTGGCACCCGTTTCAGGTCATTTTCACAATCGCCCTGAAAGGCAGTTACTACCGATCACCGTTCGCGGCGAGGGATCTGAGGCCCCGACAGATAAAGCGAGCGGGCTCGGCACCCGGATCTGCCTGCCCTCAGCGCCCGCGTCTGTTCCCGTAAACCACGCTGCGCTTTATTTTTGTGGCGGGCGGGTCACAATGAGGCGGCCTTGGGTGACCGCCTGACGCTGGGTGCCAGATGCCAGCAAGTGGGGTCCGTGTTTGGGGCGTCTCCGTATCCCAGCACCTAGTGCAACAAACGCCACGCGGCAGGCCCTCAACAAATAATGGCTGGAGCATGACGTCGGTAAAGGAAAGAAGGAAACGAGGGTGGGGGAGGAGCGGCTGGGAGGTGGCGGTCGCCGAGCTGCCCCCGATGCTGGGGTCCTGCCGCGAACCGCCTTCCGGAGAAGAGCTTCCCGAACGTGACCTCCTCCGGGTCACTGGAGTCCCGTGACCAGGATACCGTCGCCCTGCTCTTAGGGATGACGGAGGCGCAGGGTGGCTGCGGTTCCCGAATCATTTGGTTTCCTATCTGTATTTTATACATTCTACGGGTATTTTTTTTTAAGTTATTTGTTTTGAGAGAGAGAGAAAGAGAGAGCGGGAGCGGGAGAGGGGCAGAGAGAGTCACAAGCGGGCCCCAGGCCCGGCGCGGAGCCGGACACGGTTCGTGAGGTCGTGACCTGAGCCAAAGTCAAGGCTTGGCTGCTCAACCGACTGAACCGCCCGGGCGCCCCTGTATGTGTGTGTTTACATCAATTTTTGTTAAGGTATAATTGACATACAACGTATTAGTCTGAGGTGTTCAACATAGCAGTTGGCCATTCGTACACAGCGTGAAGTAGACACCGGTCTCCCCAACACCCCCACCGCGCACAGTTACAACTTTGTCTCTTGTGACGAGAACTTCCAGGACCCACTCTCGGCAACCTTGACACACGCCAGGCGCTGTTGCCGGCCGTGGCCACTGCGCCGAGCGCCACGTCCTCGGGGCGTGTTTATTTCGTATTCCTTGCGTCTCTCTCCCACCTCGCCCGTGCCCCACACCCCCGGGCTGCTGCCCCCGGCCTGTTGCCCGTGCCCATGAGCTTGGTGGTCGGCGGGTTGGTCCCGTGTTTACACTCCACGGAGACGTGAGATCCCACCATATTGGTCCCTCTCCGGCTTCCTTCCCTAAGCGCGATGCCCCCCCGCGTCCTTCCACGTTGTCGCGAACGGTAGGACTTCCTTCTTTTTTACGTCTGAACAAAATTCCACCGCGTCTCTCGAATTCTCTTCATCCAGTCATCCATCGGCGGACACTCAGGTTGCGTCTACGTCTTGGCGATTCTAAACAATGCCGCGGGAGCATGGGGCGCAGACGTCTCTTCAAGGTAACACTTCATCCCCTTTGGGTAAATACCCAGAAGCGGAATGACTGGGTCACAAGGTAATTCTACACGCTGTTCTCCACAGGGGCTGCACCAACTCCCGTTCCCGCCAACACTTGTCACTTCTCATCTTTGTGATAACAGCCATGCCGGCAGGCGTGAGGCGGTATCTCGTTGTGATTATGTGCATTTTAATACAGCGAGCCTCTTCCAAATCATCTATGAGAACAGTAGGTAAATCGACCAACAAAGTTTTGCTACTGATGTTGTTTTTACGCAGCTTGACCTCCTTGAGAAACGGGGTGGAAATCAGAAATTCTTATCTGCCGATGTCTTCCTTTTTTTTTTTTTTTTAATTTTTTTTTCAACGTTTATTTTTATTTTTGGGACAGAGAGAGACAGAGCATGAACGGGGGAGGGGCAGAGAGAGAGGGAGACACAGAATCGGAAACAGGCTCCAGGCTCCGAGCCATCAGCCCAGAGCCTGACGTGGGGCTCGAACTCCCGGACCGCGAGATCGTGACCCGGCTGAAGTCGGACGCTCAACCGACTGCGCCACCCAGGCGCCGCATGCCGATGTCTTCTAATGAGCAGAAATGCAAACACCCGTGACGCATCCATCGTGGGGTCCACCTCTGGGAAGGCTTGGGGGATACGGTTGCTCGGGTTTGTTGGAAGGCGGACGTGCCCGACGGAGGAGGCGGGTGGGTGAGTCACCCGGGGGAGCCTGGAGGAGCGTGTGAGGAGGAACCAGCCGCCGGTGCGGGGAGCCCCGTGGCCGCAGCTCCGTCGCCTGGGTCCACCCGGACCTGGGACGAGCCCGGGACCCCGGCCCTAGCCCTGCAGCACAGCTGAGCCCTGAGCGGGGGCTCAGGCCACGGGAGAGCTCAGCTGGTAGGAAGAAGGACCGGGAGTCGAGACCACACCCTGCTGCCACAGCTGATGAAAGTCATGGCTCCCAACCCCCAGACCCAGGAATATTCTCACGTGTCACTTTCACTTTGTCTCGTATAAGCTTTTCAGTTTGCGATCTTCCTTTCCAGCATTCTGTTCCTCCAAAGTCTCCATGTTGCCCAGTGAGCTCACGGGCCCTGGCAGGCGCCATGTGGAAGGGTCAGCCAGTGACCTGAGGCCGTCCTGGTGAGCTGGGGGGGGGGGGGGGCCGGGCGGGGGGGGGGAGGGGGGCAGGCAGTGGGTGATGCCTGCCCAGGGGACTGTGCTGCTCAGGGGGCCACTCTGTCCCCAGACAGAGGCGCTCGTTTCCGAGTGCTTGGTTGTAACTTTTTAAGGAAAGGGGGAAGGGGAAGCAGTCAGAACCCCTCGGGTCTGGGGCAGGCTCCGAAGTTCAGAACAAACAGGTTATAATGACCCAGGTCCCAGGTGGCAGCCGAGACTCACCTGGGACCGGAAGGGGGCAGCAGGGCTGTGTCCTCCGAATGTAAGAGACCCAGCTGGCCCCCCTCTGCCCGCCATGAACTATTAATAAGGCCTCTTCGACAGCCTTTTGTTTTATTTTATTTCTTGAGAGAGAGGGCGCAAGTGAGGGAGGCGCAGAGGGAGGGGGAGACGGAGAGAAGCGGGGCTCACCTGATGCGGGGCTCCGGCTCACCCGTTGTGGGACTCGAACTCACGAACCGTGAGGTCGTGACTCCAGCAGAAGTCAGACGCCTTGGGGCGCCGGGGCGGCGCAGTCGGTTAAGCGTCCGACTTCAGCCAGGACAGATCTCGCGGTCCGTGAGTTCGAGCCCCGCGTCGGGCTCTGGGCTGATGGCTCGGAGCCTGGAGCCTGTTTCCGATTCTGTGTCTCCCTCTCTCTCTGCCCCTCCCCCGTTCATGCTCTGTCTCTCTCTGTCCCAAAAATAAAAAAAAAATAAAAAAACAAAACGTTGAAGAAGTCAGACGCCTAACGGACGGAGCCCCCCGGACGCCCTCTCTCCGACTGCACCTTAAAGCCCAGGGTGAGCAAGCCTGTCTGATTTGGACAACACGGGTGGCGCCTGACCGCAGACGAGAAAGGGGAGCCGAGCAGCAGCCCGGCCAAAGGGAGGAGGCCGATCTCCTCCGTCAGACT